AAGGACAAAGCTTGGTACTTGTCCAGGCCTGCCCCAAAATGGAAAAACTGTAGCCTTAACCAACCCCTACTAGCCCTGACCAATTAGAACGTACTAATATGACTGCCACTTGCTTAAGCCAACTGTGGATAAAATGACCTCACTGCTCTAGGAACTCCCCTTGGCTATACTTAAAAAGAGCCTGCAAGCTCCTCTGGGGTCATCGCCATTTTACCTTTGTGTGGGATGGTCGGCTCCAGCATGCTGGGATGAAAAACACCTCTTGCTGATTGCTTACGTGGATCTTTTGTGAGACTTCTCCAGGACCCTAACAGACTCTCCCACCTTCACCCCCCACCTTTCTCCATCATCTCAACTCCTGAAAAAGTCATTCTCAGTAAAATGAGTTTTGAATCCATCAAGGGCTGAAACTTCTGGCCTGAAAGGGGTAATTTCTAGAAGCCAACTTACAGGGCTGTTTAAAAAGTAGCTCTGAGGCTGGGCAGTGGTGTTCTACAGCTTTAATCCCAGCACTCTGGAGGCAGAGGCAGGTGAATCTCTGAGTTCGAGACCAACCTGGTCTACAGAGTGAGTTCCAGGATGGCCAGGGCTACACAGAGAAACCCTGTCTGGGAAAAACAAAAGAAACAAATAGATAAATAAATAAATAAATAGTAGCTCTGATGGGCCACGATGTACACCTTTAATGCCAGCACTCAGGTCAGGCAATAGAAACAGGTGTATCTCTGTGAATTCCAGGCCAGCCTGGTCTATATAGTGAGACCCTGTCTTGAAAAGGGAGGATGGCTCGCCATCTTTTATATTTTTTTAAATGAAGTACAGATGACTAATGCAATGGAATGTACTTTTGAAAATTACTTCATATATATATATATATATATATATATATATATATATGTGTGTGTGTGTGTGTGTGTGTGTGTGTGTGTGTGTGTGTGTGTGTGTGTGTTTGGATACACGTGGAGCAGAGACCAACTTGTAGGAGTTGGTTCTTTCCTTCCATGTGGGCTCCAGGAATAAAACATGGAGAGCTACAAAGGAAAACACCAAATGTTGACCGTGCTGGCTGGTTTCATGTCAACTGGATGCAATCTAGAGTCATTACAGGAAGGCGCCTCCATGGAGGAAAGGCCTCCATGAGATCCGGCTGTAAGGCATTTTCTCATTTAGCGATCAATGCGGGAGGGCCCAGCCCATGGTGGGTGGTGCCAATCTGAGCCGGTGGTCCTGGGTTCTATGAGAAGGTGGACTGAGCAAGCCATGGAGAGCAAGCTAGTCAGCAGCACCCCTCCATGGCCTCTGCATCAGCTCCTGCCTCCAGGCTCCTGCCCTGAATGAGTTCCTGTCCTGACTTCCTTCAATGATGAACAGCAATGCTGAAGTGTAAGCTGAATAAACCCTTTCCTTCTCCCTGCCCCCCCCAAAAAAAGGGAGGATGGCTCTCTGCCCATGTCTAACCCACAGGTCAGTTTCCAAGTAGCCTAGGAACCTGGGACTCTTCTGCTATCTCGTTCCTAAAACGGAAGGCATCTCCTGAGCCCAAAGGATGCTAAGCAAAGAACTGAGAACAAAATCAGCTTCCAGCTTTTCTGCATTGGCCCATGCTGGGCCTGGATGGCAGAAGTCTCTGGACCCTCCAGATCCTGCCTGTCATCACACATCCCAATAGTCAGCTCTCTGCTCAACTTCCCAGCCCTCCTACAACACATCTCCGCGGGCAGGCAATTTGTTCAACAGCCCTGTGGGGTTTAAGCCAGCCTTCTAGCCAGCCAGCTAGGATGTGCAGAACCTCCTTGCTTCCCTGGAAACTTCCAGAAGTCTCAAAAGATGTTTTGGTCGTTCAGCAGCCTTGAAACATGGCAAAGCTATGGAAAATGACTTTTTGTAAGCTACATGCCAGGCACAGTTGACTTAAATCTTTTTCTGAGTTTTGCAGGTTTTATTCTTGCAGTGCAGAGCGTCCTGGCGTCCACAAGATGTCAGCACTTTCATTAGCACTAAACCTGTCTGGCTTTCCTCGCTTCTTTTTGCGCCCCCGCTGTAGTTCCCCAGTTGGCCTCACGATGGCACCATCACCCACAGAGTGCGTGTCTCCAGGTGATGGAGCCCTGGCGCCTGCAGAGGAAGAAGGGCCTTTGGGAGGAGGAGGAGGAGAGGCACCTCTCCGCCCTTTTCATCGCTTATTATTTGACTAACACACGAGGCCCCCATGGGGTCTGTTTTGCTTTCTACTCGCTGATAAGACAAGGAAGAGAAGGAACAGGCAATAAGCAAGAATGTAGCAACTCTTAGAGGGCTGCCTCGAGGCCTCTGCAGGCTGTCGACGGAGCCGCGTGACATGGTTCCTGCCAAGTCCAGGTGTGTGCAGTGTTGTTTTAAGATTCCCCAGCTGGCCTCACGATGGCACCATCACCCACAGAGTGCGTGTCTCCAGGTGATGGAGCCCCGGTGCCTGCAGAGGAAGAAGGACCTTTGGGAGGAGGAGGAGGAGAGGCACCTCTCCGCCCTTTTCATCGTTTATTATTCGACTAACACACGAGGCCCCCATGGGGTCTGATTTGCTTTCCACTCGCTGATAAGACAAGGAAGAGAAGGAACAGGCAATAAGCAAGAATGTAGCAACTCTTAGAGGGCTGAGGCCTCTGCAGGCTGTCGGAGCTGGGTCCTGCCAAGTCCAGGTGTGTGCAGTGTTGTTTTAGAAACCGGAACAAACAGATCTCTCATTGCTCCACGTAAGTTGGAGAAGCCCAGGTCGAGTGGAGGAACACCACTACCACCTCTGAGCCTCCTGAGGAGCCCCCAACCCCTTCTCGGGGTGAGAGACAGTCTGTGATTGCTAAATCAAAGTTCTTTCCATTTGACACTGGTTTAAACCTGGGCATACTCAGGCAGAAAGTGGCCTTTGGGAATTTAGATTTCATAGTCAGAGGCGTTTGGTTTCTGCCCTGTACTTTGATAAAGCTATTTAACACGGACACACACACACACACACACACACACACACACACACACACCTCACAAAAGCAGAGTATAAATATTGTCCCTGCAGGAAGCCCACAGCTGGGGGGGGGGGCGATTTTCTTGATCAATGGTGGAATTTCCAGCAAAATCGTGAGAAAAATTCAACACTGCCTGCCACGGGCTTCAGAGGTGAAAAGGCACTTTTCTGTCATAGTCATTAAAAACATCCCCCCCCCCAAAAAAAACACATGACCGCAAATACACTAGGGGCATTGGAACAATAAGGTCTTAGTGTGAGCCTGAGAGGAGGGAGAAGCTTAAACCCCTACCAGGACAGGCACCCAACCTGCACCCAGGAAGCCTTATTTTGCTGCTTAAAGGGGGTGAAGGGGAAACATGTCAAAGAAGAATCCAGAACAGCCACCCAAAAAATGCGTTTCCCTAGATGCTTCAGGTCAGGGGACCTTGTACCTCCCTTCCCTTTAAATTCTGAAGTTATCTAGTCAAAGATAATACACACAAATACTTATTTGGTTGTTTCGATAATTCATGTGATGCCACTAACGTCACTGCTCAAGGGTCAAAGCTGAAAAAGAGGGCTCTAACGTCTCAGCCTTTTGCTGACAATCTAGTGAGGGGGGCACGAAAAGCTGAAACAAATGTGTTATCAGTCGCCGTCTTCCCTACCCAACCGGACCAACAACTTCCAGAAGGTTCTGCGGGGCATGGAGCCTTTCCGAAGGGATGTCCCAGTGCTTCTGGGGAAGCGGGCGAGCAGGGATCCGATGACGACCGGAGGTGTTGAAGGAATAAATAACCACTTCACAAATAAACAAACCGTCCCTGGGATTTCTAGAGGGAAGGAGAAAGCTTGAAGGTCGGAGACCTCGGTGTCACTGCGCATCAAGACTGGCAACGATAAAAATCCTCCAGTTACCAGGCCCTCTGAGGAGCCGCTGGACCCCGGCTCACCTTATCAAAACTCAGCAAAACAAACGGACTGAAATATAGTCAATATACAGGATCCCAAAGATGCTGGCCTCAGAGTGGGATCCCGCGTGGGCCAGGGAAGCAGGTTGGAGGCCACGCAGTGCCGCACTCCCGTAAGTCTCTGGCGGCGAAGCCCCGGGTGGAAAGCAGGCCTGGAGCTCCCCACGCGGGGAGGGGACCCCGGCCAGCCTGCACTGGGGACACCTTCGGGCAGCGCGGGAGTCGGCTTCCCAAAGCAATGGCATAGCTAGAGAGAAGGGAGAACGGTCGGGTGGATGACACGGGAGGCTAGCCCGCGTCTACGCGGGAGAGGAGAGGGAGAAAACAAGCGCAGGGTTCATGCGCTTCCCAGAGCCCCACGGAATGGGCTGGAGGACGCGGCTCAGTCACCCAAGCCACAGCGAAGACTGAGAATCAATTGCTCCCGAGGTGTTACCTCCCCGTTTAGCTTTCCCGCCGAGCCTTCCTTCCCAGGCGCCGGACTCCCAGGCGTGGGAGCGGGAGGAACCCAGTTCTACAACCGGGCCTCCTTTGTGGGCTCTTCTCAACCCTCCGACCTCGAAGCGCCCTGTGGATTATTCACCATTGCATTCAGGAGGCCCCGCCGGCTCAATCCGTTTGCTCTGAACCCATTACAACTAGGCCCCGATAATTAAGAAATCTAATTATTCGCCTCTTCACTCATTAATAAGAAAAATCTTTAGGATCTTTGCTACTTACAAGGTCTTGGTCGGGGCAGACCTTTGCCCAACTTCATCAATTCGATTTTAAATTCCAAACTAAATCTTTTTTTTTTTTTTTTTACTTTGCAAAGGAACGAGTTTTTATTTTTTGCTGTGGACACGTGGTCTCGTTAAACAAAATGTGATAATAAAATAAAATTTAATAAGATGTAACTTATTTTTAAAAGTCCTCAAGTTAACTTGAGCTACAGGGGGTGGAGGGGGGGGGAGAAAATCTGGCTAAGAGCCGCTGGGTCTTAGAGCCGACGGATTCCAGCGCTTCTCGCCCTGATTGGTTCCATCCTTCTCACAGCTGCCAGATGATTGGTTCAAGCTTCCTGGAGGGGGCGCGGCCTGAGGAAAGTAAAAACTCGCTTTGAGCCTGAAGACTTTTGAAACTTTTCCCAATCCCTAAAAGGGACTTCGCTTCTTTTTCCGGGCTCGGCCGGGCAGCCTCTCCGGACCCCAGCTCGCTGAGGCTCCAGGCTGCCGTTCTGCTGGCGGGGCTTCGAGAGCTGCGGTCTCCTTTCCTAGCGTTCAGAAGGGTCGGTCTCGCTCCACGATCGCGCGTGGCGTCTCTGCCGCCGGTTCAGGGCTGCCACCCACCGGGCCCAGAGCGCGCGGCCAGCGGGGCCGCCCGGGGCGCGCCCTCCAGGATGCTGACCCGCCCGGTCGGCTGAACCCGAGCGCTCCGGTCGGCCCGAGCGCCCGCGCCTTCCGCGCGTGGCCCGCGAGGCTGCCCCGAGCAGGGGCTGCCCGCGCCACTCCATCCCCTCCTACTCTCCTGCTCCGGGCCTCGCTCGCCGCGGGCCGCAGTCGGTGCGCACAGGCGGCGGCCGAGCGTCTGGGACGCAGCATGCAGGCGCGCTACTCGGTGTCGGACCCCAACGCCTTGGGAGTGGTGCCCTACTTAAGCGAGCAAAACTACTACCGGGCAGCGGGCAGTTACAGCGGCATGGCCAGCCCCATGGGCGTCTACTCCAGCCACCCGGAGCAGTACGGCGCCGGCATGGGCCGCTCCTACGCGCCCTACCACCACCAGCCCGCGGCGCCCAAGGACCTGGTGAAGCCGCCTTACAGCTACATCGCGCTCATCACCATGGCGATCCAGAACGCCCCCGAGAAGAAGATCACCCTGAACGGCATCTACCAGTTCATCATGGACCGCTTCCCATTCTACCGCGAGAACAAGCAGGGCTGGCAGAACAGCATCCGCCACAACCTGTCGCTCAATGAGTGCTTCGTGAAGGTGCCGCGCGATGATAAGAAACCCGGCAAGGGCAGCTACTGGACGCTCGACCCGGACTCCTACAATATGTTCGAGAATGGCAGCTTTCTACGGCGTCGCCGGCGCTTCAAGAAGAAGGACGTGCCCAAGGACAAGGAGGAGCGGGCCCACCTCAAGGAGCCGCCCCCGGCCGCGGCCAAGGGCGCCCCGACGGGGACCCCGGTAGCGGACGCGCCCAAGGAGGCCGAGAAGAAAGTGGTGGTCAAGAGCGAGGCGGCATCACCCGCGCTGCCGGTCATCACTAAGGTGGAGACGCTGAGCCCCGAGGGCGCGCTGCAGGCCAGTCCCCGCAGCGCAGCCTCCACGCCGGCTGGCTCCCCGGACGGCTCGCTGCCTGAGCACCACGCCGCGGCGCCCAACGGGCTGCCAGGCTTCAGCGTGGAGACCATCATGACGCTGCGCACCTCGCCTCCGGGCGGCGATCTGAGCCCGGCCGCGGCGCGCGCCGGCCTGGTGGTGCCTCCGCTGGCTCTGCCTTACGCCGCCGCGCCACCCGCTGCTTACGCGCAGCCTTGCGCGCAGGGCCTGGAGGCCGCAGGTTCTGCCGGCTACCAGTGCAGCATGCGGGCCATGAGCCTGTACACCGGGGCCGAGCGACCCGCGCACGTGTGCGTCCCGCCCGCGCTGGACGAGGCTTTGTCGGACCACCCGAGCGGCCCTGGCTCCCCACTCGGAGCCCTCAACCTCGCGGCGGGCCAGGAGGGCGCGCTAGGGGCCGCGGGCCACCACCACCAGCATCACAGCCACCTCCACCCGCAGGCGCCGCCGCCTGCCCCGCAGCCCCCGCCCGCGCCGCAGCCCGCCACCCAGGCCACCTCCTGGTATCTGAACCACAGCGGGGACCTGAGCCACCTCCCGGGCCACACGTTTGCCACCCAACAGCAAACTTTCCCCAATGTCCGGGAGATGTTCAACTCGCACCGTCTGGGACTGGAAAACTCGACCCTCGGGGAGTCCCAGGTGAGCAATGCGAGCTGTCAGCTGCCCTACCGAGCCACACCGTCCCTCTACCGCCATGCGGCCCCCTACTCCTACGACTGTACCAAATACTGACACTCCCAGCCCGCCCTTGCCCCAGGCCCACACCGGCTTCGCCTCCCCATGGGACCCTCTTCGACGGAGCCGCAGAAAGCGACGGAACGCGCCCCTCTCTCAGACCCGGGAGCAGAGAGCTCCGCGCAACTCGCAGGTAACTTATCCGCAACTCGGTTTCTGAGATCCCAGCGAGTCCCTCTAACGGGGACGCAGCCCACCGAAACGAAATACCGATTTTTAAACATTTCCTTTCCCTGCCCGGATACTGCGCCTGCTCCCTTTGGGGATTCACAGATTAGTTTATGGACCAAACCCCACAGGGACCCCTAATGACTTTCTGTGGAGACGCCCCACAGGCGCATGAGGTCTCTCCGGATAAGGTGCCTTCTGTAAACGAGTGCGGATTTGTAACCAGGTTATTTTGTTGTTGCCCAGAGCCTTTAATATAATATTTAAAGTTGTGTCCACTGGATGAGGCTTCATCTTGCCCAACCGTTTCTGCCAAATTAAATTCAAGAAACCTATGTGGGTTTTTCTCCCCACAGTACCATAATAAAATAGAATTCTTTCCCCAACTGTAGTTCTTTTACAAAACAAGAAAATAATTTATTTTTTTGTTGGTGGTGGATAACAAAGTCAATTATCTGATACTTTTAATTTAGAAAGTATGATGGCTTTGTACAGTAGACGCCATCTGAAGTATTCCTAAAAGACACAAAAAGACTTAAAATTTTAACTTCATTTGTGTTTGTCTTATGTGGTCTCAATGTTGTATTTACCTTAAAATAAACCCATGTTGTTTTTCTGCCCAAAGTTCGGACAGTGTCTTTGTGTTCTTGAATTAAAAAAAAAAAGTTGTAGTAAACCCACTTGTGATTATTTTTATGGTGCAGGTGGCCTGGTACGTGGATGCATGTACGTGTCATGGGACAATGGAGCTCTCCTTTAGTAATAGAGAGGGCTCTTGATTTGTTGAAGTATCCCATCCTGGGATTTTGCTCTCAAGGCAGGCTGAGGAACTGTTCTCCCCACATACACACATGGACAGGGTTGCCTGAGGGCAACTAGCTGGCCTCTGAACAAAATGCTTTTCGGACGCAGAAAACTCTTGCCAATTGTCAAAACAAAATGGTGTCACTCCATCTCAGTGTCCAGCTGTCCCCTATTTAAGGGAGAAACAGAAAACGGACAAACGGTCACAGCTTGCCTACCTCAACAGAGCCAGAGCCTGGGTGAGTCCTGTGTTCCTTCGTTTCCTTAAATGCGGACTTGTTGCCCGTTAGTGTTTGAGCCGCACCCGTAAGAGCAAGAGGATTGATGTCTCCTATTTAACAGCTGGCTTGGGGGATCAGATTAGAGGTGGCTTTCGGTCTGATTTAAGTTCTCAATTTGGGCTTCAAATATCTACCCCCCTGTGGTGAAAGGGGGAGCCATGCCGCTCCTTATAAACACGATGTTTCAACACTGAAATGGATCTGATTTTCAGCACCCTACAGAGCAGGGAGATTATTTTTCTGATTTTCATTTCTAAAAAAAATTTTGATAGGGACAAAACTTGGATATACCTGGTGGGGAGGTCGGTGTCTTTCTTGCCGTTCTGCTGGCTGAAAAGCACGACTTCATTGCAGGCCTGTGTGTTGGACCTTAGGCACTCAGCATCATGGATTCCCGCCCCAGCTGGTAACCTGTACTGTGCCCATGGAAGTTCTTCCTCCACAGAACATGTTGGCCAAGGGGGACTTTGCGGAAGGTCATCTGTTTCGCTCAGTGGTGGTCACTGTAACACGTCGTCGTGTATCGTGTTATTGTTAAAACTGCAAGTTTTATATTTGCTATTTTGAAATGGATTTAGGGGAAGTTTGAATCCTGATCATTCTCCCCATATGTGTAAGACAGTCTTTCAACCTGCAACACCAGGAGGTGGCCCATGTTTCGTCACCTTTCATAAAGTGGGGACACTGAGGACTTGATAGGGGAGGGAGGAGGGGAGAGGGAGCAGGTATTCATGCCTTGGTTCCTAAGCCAGAGCAGATAGCTCAGGAGGATCTCTGAAGATCTCTGGTCCCTCCCAACACTGGTTTCATTTTGTACCGATCTCTTCAAACCACTTTCCCCAGGAGAAGCGAAAGGCTTCCTAGCCAGCTGGCTCTCTCCTTTCCCAGATGTTTTAGGGGCCACCCTGAAAGCTTGCCCTCAACTTAAGATTTGGAACTCCTGGTGCCTTGTGACTGACCCAGGAAAAGAAAGGAGGTGGTTGGTGGGGGGCGGGGGGGGGGGGGCGATAGAGTTCTTAAGGAGAACTCTTCGGGAGTAGGTAGCTAGAGAAAAGCTCCCAGACCGGCACTATGCAAGGTCTTTCCTTTTCTTGGAACATAGACAGCCAGCTTGTGTTGCGGGCTTTTTCTAGGCCTCCTGGAGCAGCAATGTGGATAACAGGGCCCTGGGAAATATTGGTCTGGGGTGTCGCTTCCTCAGGGCGACAGAGGAGAAGGACAGGCCGCAGAATTTGGGTTTCTAATTCTTAGGCTCTGCTTGGCCCAGCCTTCAGCAGCCTCAGCCGGCTCCTTAGAACTAGGGGTTTATCACCACTCTTCAGATAAACCAGGAAGCGCCTCCCTGCCAGTGTAGCCAGCAGCAAGGAGGCAAGGTCGAGCCACAATATCAGGGTCTTGACAGCCACACCGAGAGCTGGATACTCCTTGCACTAAAACTTCTGTGAGGACATAGATTGTCTTCGATTCACCACCCCTACCCTGGTCTTCCTTAGGCCTCTCTGTCCCTGGCAAGTCCAGGACATTCCAGGAAAAGGGGGCAAAGAGTTCCAAGGAGGAAAGCCAGGCATGCCTATCCCAGGTAGTTCAGCTCTCTGCCGGGGTGGGGATGATTCTGCTCTCCACCCAAACACAGCCTTGTCTGATAACCACGACTCAAGAAGATAATGCCTCAAGAAGACAAGCAGCTGAGCAGATCTCAAAGATAGGCCAGATAAAGAGCAAAGCAAGCCCTGTAATACCGGCAAAGGTGTTCCTGTGGGTTTACCCCAAGTACCAGCTGGCCTTAACCAGGTGCGCCGATGAACGGGCTGCTGGGTTTTGACAGATTCAGGTCTACCTGAGAGCCCTCCATGCTTCACACTCCCAACTCAGACACTGGCTGGAGGGAGGCTGTACTACCATTGCCTTCTTAGGCTGAAGTTATGCTACCACACCCGCCGTTTTCAGGAAGTGCCTGCCAGCCTCGCCCCGGCTCACACCTCTCCCCAAACCAGCTTGGATCTGCAGCTACAGTCCTCACTGCCTGGCTCGGGTGGCCCGCCACAGCAGGTGAAAAATTGAAAGTGACTTTGGTCCAGAATGGGTCCAGTTGGAACTTTGACTCCTACATCTCAAGGCATGAACCCCTGCCGCCTGGGCATCACCAGGGAGGTAGACCAGTTTATGACTCGTACTTCTTTCTTACTGAACTAAATGGAGATCAGACGTGAGAAGGAGAAGAAAATGAAGGATCCAGGGAATACTGGTGGCTCGCCTCATACCCTTCAGGGTCCTCTCCTTTATAGTGCCACTGTCTCAGCTCTGTGAATGGCTGGTGAACTTCACATTGTAGAAAAAGTTTTCAGCCTTCTGCCCAAAGAGGTCTGTTGAGCGAGCAAGTCTTCTTCGTCCTTGTCCCCGCTCCCAAATCCAAAGGTAGGGGCAGGTATCTCCAACTTTGTTGTTAACCCCAAACAGGTAAGTGTGATGAATAAAGACATGGGGAAGTTGTCTCACGGCTCACCCAGCCCCCAGGGCTCCCCCAAAACTGCCGCATCCCGCATGGCCGACTGCCTCTGTCTGACTGCTGTGGCTTGAAGATGGGTCAGTGGGTAGCTCAGGTAGGGATGGAGACATCGAAAGTCCGATTTTCGATCCAGGTGGAGGCACGGGCTGAGTCAGAGCCACAGAGTGCCATCTCCCTCCCACCCCCTAGAGCCATCCAGTTCAGAATATTTGGAATGCTTTCCCAAACTTTGAGAAGCATTCCTTGCCCGCCTTTCTTGCTTGCCCTCCACGGCGTTTGAAATGTTTGCTTTTTTGACACAGGCATGCAAGGAAGGGGGTAGCATGCTTCCAGGGTATTTAGGAGGCTGGCAGCCACCAGCGACATTGGGGACCGTGCCTGGGAAGGTGCCATGCACCTTTAACTTGCGTCAGCCTTCTTACTTTTCAGCAGCAGATGTGCGGTGGGTATTGCTGGGCGATGGAGCCTGTCCCTTTGGGTGCTGTTGGCTTTGTAAGTGTTCGAACGTGGGAGTTTGTCCTGGGGCCCTGAGTACGTGCAGAGCTGGGGTGGAGGGGGGGCAGTGACAATGGTACAGCATCCTAGATGACTAAGAGAGAAAGAGCTGGGTAGCAGGAGGCTTCAACCTGCCCCGTGCTGCCACGGAGTATGGCCTTGTGTTTTTGGATCTCAGTCTCTGGCCACTGGGGTGAGAAGCCTGGCTGGCCATTAGACAGTGGTGGCCTTCCAGCCGGGACTCTGCTATTCCCCAGGCACCCTGCCTCCCCGGGAGTCTGTCTACAGTTGAAGCCCCAGCACTATTCCAGGTCCCATAAACAGTCAAACTTCACCCCATTCCCTTAAGCTTTGAGGCCGGTTTCTTAGGTGGCATTTCTTAGGACTGTGGAACAGAGTTTTAACGAGCGGGGTGCAGTTCCAGGTCTGTAACATCACCGTGATAGGGAGAGTTCTCAGAAGGGATTCTGCTGTCTGTCTTGCCTATCCGGATGGCTTTGAGTGGGGTAGTGGACGTGCCCTCAGGGCCTCTTTGAGAGCCTTCCCATCCTTTCTGGGAACAAGGTGCTCTATAAATAAGTATGTCATTTGGAAAACCCTGCTCTGCTCTCTGGGCCCCACGTACCATCAGCTGACCAGGCCCAGCTCCCATCTATATACACCCTCTAGGGGAAGCAGGGGAAGACTCCGCTCTTTTCAAGGGGGAGGGCAGAAGAAATCAAACCTTCTGGGTTTGTAAGTGAGGATTCAGGGGAACCCTGAGGCTCCCAACACTGGGGCTACACACTTCTCTCTCCTGAGGACACCTGAGCAGTCAGGCCCCACTGTACCCACCTTTGAGGACAACCTGTGGCTGTTACCCAAGTGGCAGTAGCTGGGGAGTGCTCTGTGACTTAGCCTCAGTTTCATGCTCTGCAGAATGGGTGACTCCTTCAGGTTTGTCTTTCACTGTTGATGCAAGGGCCTGAGAAGGAAGTTCTTTCCACAGGGGTCCTGAGTGCTGCATACAGGGTGGCCGTCGTCATATGATTGTGTCCCGGTCTTTGGACAGCTCTCCATGGGAGAACTGAGACATGGTACCTTACTGGGCCCCAGCTTCTTGGTGTGAAAAAGGAATTAACAAATGTTACTTCTTCTTTTAATTTGTGTGTGTGTGTGTGTGTGTGTGTGTGTGTGTGTGTGTGTGTGTGTGTATTATTGGGAATTGAATCCTGAATTTCACACATGCTGGGCAAATGTCACATTACTGTCCCACAAACCCTGTTACTTAAAAATATTTTATGATTTAATTATTCTGCCCCTGGAGCTGGAGTTACAAGGTGGTTGTCAGCTTCCCTATGTAGATGCTGAGAACCAAACATGGGTCCTCCAGAAGAACTACTAACCCACCTCTCTAGGCTCTCCTTTTTCAGACAGGCTCTCATGTAGCCCAGGCTGACCTCAAACTCACTATGTAGCTGAGGATGACTCTGAACTTGTGATCCTTCTGCTTCTACCCCTTAGGTGCTGGGATTACTGGCCTAGGCCACCATGCCTGAATTATGTGGGTTTCCTGAAGGCTAGGGCAAGCGTTCTACCAACTGAGTGGTCCCTCATCCCTAATTTACATTTTTGTGTTTTGTATTTTATATTTTGAGACGGGGGTCTCACTAAGTTACCCCACTTGCTTTGAACCCACTGCACAGCCCCGACAGACCATGAACTTGCAATCCTCCTCCCTCAGCTTCCTGAGTAGCTGTGATAAGATGCCTGAGGCTGCTTAGAGTTGCTGTACGGGTGAGATGATTTAATGCAAACACTTCACACGGCACACAGTGGTGCTCAATTCACTTTAGGAAGAGCGGTTTTTTGACACAGGGTTTCTCTGAGCAGCCCCCTGGCTGTCCTGGAACTTGCTCTGTAGCCCAGGCTGGCCTCGAACTCGCAGAGATCTGCCTGCCTCTGCCTCTAGAGTGCTGGGATTAAAGGTGGGCCCTACCACCACTCTGCGTCCACAGCGTTTTTAAATTGTCATTAAGGTGACCAGTCTGAGTCCCCACCCAAACATACTATACTAGGTGAGGTCAGAGGCCCAGTGATACTTGTAATACTGTCATCTGAATAGGAAAAGAACTGCGGATGGACGCTGGGAGAACACCACAGACAGCCCCTCATTTGGAGGCCTACTTTGTTCTGGTTGTGACTGGGAGTGGTAGGAGAGAATCCTAACTCATTCTTCCCGGTGCTGGCTTTTTGGGAGGCCTGTCTCCTCCCCAAAACCTCCCGGAGGAGCGCACATCCGCTTTGTCCCAGCACTGGGAATGTGGCTGTCAGTTCTCATCCCACGCAGAAACCACTGCCCGTTCTGCTTCCAGGCATCTGGAGGAGCATGGGGCTCTCCTGGGAGGAAGATGGCTGTCTCCAACTGACTGCCCAGGACATGATGAGGTGGTCATTTTTTGTTTTTCGGGATTTGAACACTTAAGGAACCTGGCTGGAACCCCTCTTCTCTGTAACACCCACTCCTCCCAGGCTCCCCCACCGGGCCAGGTTCATCTTCAGAGGACTGAGCTTCCGCACGAGGGCGCATCCGCTCCTAGAGTAGCAGACTCTTAGCTTTTGCGCGGCAGTCCCCGGAAAGGCAGGAATGGGCCCCTGAACGAGGATCCTCCCACAGCAGCCTCCCTGCGTCCTCCTCACCCCCCACGTGCTAAGGCTGCGAGTGTCACCTGGGAGCCCAGGCTGCAGACTGCGCCCGTGCCGGACCGGGTGCAGCGGCTCCAGCCTCCTGCAGACACTGCCAACCGCCGGCCCTGAGCTCCCAAACTGCTGGTTCCATTCGCTGGAGGTTTCTAAACTTTTCCCCTTTTCCTAGCCGTGCCCCGCCCACCTGCCGGGCGTGTTTCCTCCTCCAGCGGCCAGCCCACGCCTAAAGTGGGCGGTGTTTATTATTGTTGGAATTCAAGCTCAGATTTGCCTTAGGGTTCAGAAGACTCGTCGGGACAGCTCAGCGGGGCGCGCCTATCGGGAGGGTCGAGGGTGCGTGCTGGACTTGGGGTCCTGGAGAGCTTTGGGATTGACGCGGGCTGCGGAGGTGAGGGAGGGTATTGCACGTGACACTGGTTTATTTCTGGGTCTGAGTCTGTTAAGGGAGTTCAGAATCAAGGGACCGGGGTGTCAAAGCTGAGGTTGCTCACTCACCTTTCACCCCAGAATTAAAAAGGGTATTCTGGTGAAAGCCAGGGTTCTGAGAGAAAGAAACACATTCCCACCCCCACCCCCGCACCTAGACGGGTAGCCAGGGTTGCTTGCGGGAGATGGAATGGGCAAGGACTAGCTGGACACTCTCACAGGCCCACCTTTCACCAAAATCTTTTTGTTGTTGTTTTCCAACCAGGGGTAAAACTTCTATTTTCTATTTCCTTACTCGCTTCTCTGTGGTGGTGGGATGCTAGGACATCATAAACCCGAAGGCTATATTCTGGATTCCTCGCTTCCGAGTGGGACGATCACCACCCCACTTTTTCCACGTTCAGAGACCATCTGAGTACCAGTCACTGGTCCAAATCTGGTACCCTCATTGGCGCCCAGTGCGTTTCCCCCTCCAATGGGTAGCAGAAAGCTATTTCTTTACCCACTTGCACCCCCAAACGCTCCCCTCTTCTGCAGATTACTCAGGGGGCAGCTACTAACCCAGTTCTTCACACTGTTTCCACTTCCTTTCAAAGAACACTGGCAGGCAGACATCGTGAATGGAGACTGGTAACACCAGGCTAACCTGCATCTCTACCCCACTGGAGAAGAGCCAATTGGGGAGATGCCCCCTTTGGAAGGAACATCATTCAGGAGTTTGGATTCAAAGTGTGACGTGGCTAAATGTAAAATGAGCCAGGGTGGGGGATGCTTACACCCCTGGGTGGGTGGGGGGACCAGCACGCAGGCTTCACAAATGCTTAATGTAATCACCAGCCAGCTGTGCACACTTGTAAAGCTGTTGTAACCCCCCTCCTTGTTATAAACAGGAAGGCACAGAGTATGGAGCTAAAGACCCACATTCACGAACACCAGCTCCCCGCCAGCTGCCACCCCCACCCCCATGACGTGCCTTGCTAGCAACCTTAGCCAGACCAGAAAGACCTTCCCTCCCCCCAACTCTCCAAAGGGGGTTGTTTTGCAATCTTTAAAGGAACTAAGAACCAGGTACCCTGTCCACCTACAGCTTCCCAGTACTATTTGCTTTCCCCCTGGCAAAAAGGCTGGCTCTTGGGGTCCACTCCTTTCCCCTGAGTCTCCAGGTGCCCTGTTAGGTAGGGCCTCCGGGACAGTAGTACCCCCTGAAGAGTGCTCACCTCCATGAGATGTGTCTAGTGTCTTCCCAGCTCCCCCAAACGCAGAGAACGGTGCTATCTTTACATCCTGTTAAGCTTAGAGGAAATAAAAGATCTTTTGTGGGAGGGTCCCCCAGACGAGCCTTAAAATGTACCCCTTGGCTTCCCCACCCCCATCTCCATCCCTCCTTCCTGGCCTAGCAGACCCAGTTCGGGGAGAGCCACCCGTCTCCACATCCTGCCTCGCTGACTGTGTGCTTACAGCGTCAAGGGGTGGACGTGGTATTTCAAACATCAGATCAGTGCGTTTATATATTGGGTGCCCGGAAATTTTTCCAAATAAACACAGCTTGATTCAACTTGGGTGGGCGGACTTATCAACAGACTAATTCTATAAACAAATGAGGAATAGCCCTGAAACCGATTGGCTGGTATCAAAAAGACACGTGGAGGGAAGAGCTGGGAGATTTTCAGCAATGAAATTTTAATTAATGTGGGTGGGCTGAGAACACAAGGACTGTTTATCATAGACAATTTATTTTCCAGCGCTAAGTCAACACATAATAGCAAACTTACAACAATTATTTAACATTTTTAAAGCCATGAAGAAGGGACAGAGCGCGCAGCGGCTGGAGAGAGCGGCAGATCGCAGGGCAGACGCACGGAGGGTTCCCCAGGAGGGCCCTGGCGCGGGGCGAAGTCCCTAGGCTGCCCGGGTGGCAGAGCGCAGAGGCTGCTGTCGCCATGAGCCACCTCTTCAGTCCCCCACTGGCCGCTCTGGCCGCCTCGCCGCTGCTCTACGTGTACAGCCCCGAGAGGCCCGGGCTGCCCCTGGCCTTCACCCCAGCCGCTGCGCTGGCCGGCCCTGGCCGGGCCGAGCCCCCGCAGAAGCCGCCCTACAGCTACATCGCGCTCATCGCCATGGCGATCCAGGATGCGCCCGAGCAGAGGGTCACACTGAATGGCATCTACCAGTTCATCATGGACCGTTTCCCCTTCTACCACGACAACCGCCAGGGTTGGCAGAACAGCATCCGCCACAACCTGTCCCTCAACGAGTGCTTCGTGAAAGTGCCGCGTGAGAAGGGGCGGCCGGGCAAGGGAAGCTACTGGACGCTGGACCCTCGCTGCCTGGACATGTTCGAGAACGGCAACTACCGGCGCAGGAAAAGAAAGCCCAAGCCCGCCGCGGGTTCCCCGGAGGCCAAGCGCACCCGGGCGGAGCCGCCGGAGCCCGAGGTGGGCTGCAATGCAGGATGCCCGCCGCGCGCGCCGGATCGTGGTCAGTCCCCGACGGGAGGCACCGCGCGGCCAGCGCTCTTTCCCTGGTCCAGCCCTGAGTCCTGGGACCCCGACGCGGACCGCACAGTCCAGGGCGCGGGGCCAGTGGTGGGTGGCCAGCGCGATAGCACGGTGCACCGCCCGGGGTCCCCTCTGCGCCCCGACCCCAGCGGCTCCCCCAAGGGTTCCAAGTCTAAGAGCTTCAGCATCGACAGCATCTTGGCCGGGAGGCCAAAGCCGGCCTCAGGGGCGGAGGCCTCGGGGGTCCCAAAGCCCGTGCCAGGCTTGCTGGGCGCCTCGCTGCTGGGCACCTCCTCCGGCCTACCACCTCCTTTCAACGCTTCGCTGGTGTTCGACCCGCATGTCCAGGGCGGCTTTTCCCAGCTGGGAATCCCCTTCCTTTCCTATTTCCCGCTGCAGGTCCCGGAGGCTGCGGTGCTTCGCTTCCAATAAGGCGGATCAACAACTGTTTCCCCGCCCTGCGAGCCCCCACCTCCAGCGAGCAAAGGCCGTGGCAACTGCTTGCCTGAGGGTGAAGAAGTCACCTTGGTCTCTGCCCTGGCAACTGTGAGTTTGAAGCAGTGTAACCACATCGGCCAAACCTGGTGCACTGGGGGTTATGTTGGTCTACCTTCTCCGACGATGACTTAACCAGCCGCGGGGAACTTTGCAGACTTAAAAGACCTGTCCAGGAGAGGACGTGATCACCGCACACCCAAGCGCTCACAACCCATCACCAGCAGAAGTCCGTTGGGTGGGCCGTTGGCATTGTTGAATGACCTGACCTTCTTCACACACCACATGACCTCGCTAGAGTCTTCTGCTGACCCCGAGGGCAGGACTTACAGACATGGCGAACATTTCTACACGTAAACTCAACTGGACCGTGGAAGGCTCAGCGGACTCCCTGTGGTCCAGGCCTTGGCTGTGACCTCTTTGGATGATGAGAGCTTGCATCCAGGGCCCTGGGGATGATCCGTGATCCCCAGGGTCTGGGAAGAGATGTAAGCCTGGTTATCATTTACAGCTAAGTTTAAGAGAAACCAGGCAGAGCAGCAACACTCAATATGAATAGATAAACCTCCTTCTACAGTAAAAGGACATTTATTCTTGGCTTATAAACCAGGCTCCTCTTACTTGGCTAGCAGTCTTTCAAGGCACCCCATACTTGGCATGCACCTACGGCCTAGGGTGGTACATTAGTGCATTCTGCAGCTGTACAGCCCCCTGTTAGCTTCTGCTTTTCTTTTTAAGGGACCAAAAGAGTTGAGGGGACACAGGAGGGTGTGTGTGTGTGTGGAGTGAATACGTCTCAAGGTCAGAATTTTTATTTCTCTCTTTTTTTTCAAGATCTAAGTTTCTTTCCCCCTCCCCATTTTCCAGAATCACATAGTAAAGGACACCATGTAATGAGAAAGGCTGGAGGAGCAAGCACACTCCTGTCTGATGGGGGACAAAAGCTTCTAGGCTTGATAGGGACTCTCCAGACTCAACTGGTGGTGCCCTAAGTCAGTGTTCCTTCCAGGAGGATCTGGACCCTGACATTAAATAAACACGTAGGGGTGACCAGAGAGTGTCGGGGGGGGGGGGGGGGGGGACCAACAATGATCCGTTTAAGACAACTGAGTTGGTTAGAGTTCGGTCCAGCTTTCAGCTTGCGGGGAAACAGGCAGACCTTCACCATGCCTGTGTTTTAGTTTTCTGATGGGTTCTGAAGTTTGACTTCCTGAGGAACTAAAGAACTGTCTTTTATCTGGGGTAAGAAAGGTCTAAAAATGAAGACTTCTTGGGCATCAGCCCAGAGTGAAGTCTCACAACAGCCACCGAGTGCCACGTCACATCTGTAATTTCAGTATTTTTGAGGCTGAGGCAGGAGGATTGCTGTGAGTTTAAGGCTAGTCTGTGCCACAGAGTTAGACCTGTCTCAAACTGACTAAGGGAAATCAAACAAACCACTTCCCAGTACTTGGGCAAAAATGCTTAAGAACTCTCAAGTCCCCTGCTGGTCAGTGGTGGGAAAAGCATTTTAGGCAGATGGGATACTATTGGGTTTCCAGAGTCAGAGCTCTGCAATTCAGTCTTACAGCCCCATCCAGGTCCCACCAGGTCTGTGGGGAGATGGGTGTGTGTGTGTGTGTGTGTGTGTACAGCAGCTCTATTTGAAGGACTTTGAGGAGACCCCATCGTGAATCCAGGTGGCTGTGACTGACTGGAGTGCAGCAGGCAGGCTGCCATTGGATGTTTCCCATGTGCTCAGCCTCTGAATAAAGGTTGTTTTTTCATTAACCTCTCACTGACTGGTTCAGCGGATTATGGGGACATAAACAAACAGTGTAGTCGGAATGAGAGAGCGGGATTATATCCGAGAACCCGGTCAGCATCTTTGGCAGCCTTGGCTTCCGAGGGTGAAGACAAGCTGCCTGCCTGGGAGGGACCAGAAACCCCACTGAGCCCTGGAGGGGATTGAATGGCAGAAAGAGTGGGCCATTCTGCGGTGCTGGGTGCTTTTAGTTTTCCTTTTCATTCTTGTGTTTGACATGCTGTCTTGGGTGTGTTTGTTGATTTGTGACAACCGACTTTTGGAGAAACAACTGATTTAATACTGCTGTTCTTAGAAGGTGGTATTTTAGGGTTGTAATTCAAAAAGCATTTGTAAGAACATTGTTTTTGAGGGGCAGATGGATGCAAGAGCGTGTGCGTGTGTGTTTACGCAGAAAGATTCCATGCAGTTTCAGCTTTCATCAGGCGCAAAATCGCTGGAGAACTGGACTGTGAAGATGTTTTCTATCCAGTCTGTGTCAGCCTCTGTGGGTTTCTTTCCTATTGAGGAAAAGGAAGGGCACTGGATTCTCACTAACCAAACCACTACTCTAATTTCTCATATGTGTAACTGGCTCAGTAGTAAAGATGATTATCATTATTACTATTACTACTATTATTGTTATTATTAATTATTGTTATTATAGATCAGCTAGACTAAGAAATGGTTTCAGGCCAGGCCTGGTAAAGCACACCAGTAATCCCAACACTCAGGAGGCAGAAGCAGTCAGGTTGATCTCTGAGATCAAGGCCAGCCTGGTATACTGATCTACATAGGAGATCCAGGCCACCTCGGGTTACACAGTGAGATTCTGCCTCAAAAAAAAAAAAAAAAAAAAAAAGTAGATCTCTGCTAGTAATTAGGACGGTTATGTTTAGTGGGAAGCAGAAACAAGACTATGGTTCCACTCTCACGCAACCAGAAGGTCGAGTCTCTCCACAGAACAAGGGGGTGGAGGCAGCCTTGCTTCTCCTCTGATGGCTGTGTACCTCTCTCTTTCTGTGTCTCAATTTCTTACCGTCTCTTTGTCTCTGTTTGTCTGTCTGCCACCTGCCTGTCTCTCTTTCACACATGCAGATGAGTTCGCTGCACGTGATGACAGGTACGTTAATGGTGACTGTGTATACTTATGCAAACACACGTGCCCTTGTGTACACGTAAATATCTATATCTATGTATCTGTGCAGTGTACATGGACACTCAGAAACTTTTGCATGTAGGTGGGACTTGGATTGAATGCTGAATTCTGAGGCTTTATACACAACTTCCTTTTTTTAAACTTGTTGCGTGTGTGTGTGTGTGTGTGTGTGTGTGTGTGTGTGTGTGTATGATCATCTGCGTGAGTGTGGTTATATGTGTGCTATGGCACACATGTGGAGGTCAAAGGACAAGCTTCGGTGTTAGTCTTTATCTTCTGTCTTGTTTGAAGTAGGGGTATCTACTGTTTACTTTGCATGCATAGATGGGGCTGGCTGATCCACCAGCTTCTGGAGTCTCCTGTTCCCACCTCCCATCTTCCTGCAGAAGCCCTGAGATCACAGTTGCCTGCCCTATAGCATCTGGCTTTTCTATGGGTTCTGGGGATCCGAACTCAGTCTTCAAGTTTGCACCACAAGCCTTTACCCACTGAGCCACCTCCCCAGCTCAGTTTCGTTTTCTGCATAGTTCTGACCAGGACAGATTATCCATGTTTCTCTGCATTACCGTGATGAGACTAAGCCAGGTTCTGCATCTCAGAAGACACCCTGACTCGGAGGCCTTTGCTAAGTAGACAGTTTTATAGACCAGATGCTTTGGATAGTGGGGGCCTGACACATATTTTCGAGAACATGAACTAGACCCGTCCAGGGCATTGAGGGTGTGGCCACTAACTCCAGCCATTCTCATATGGACCTTGGGGCCATGTGTCCTCCTCACCATTTCAAGGAGTGGCCAGTGACTGTTCATGTGTGAGTTAAAGAAGAGACCACAGATGGTGACTATTATGGTGAGAGCCAGGGCTGGTTGCCCCTGTGTCGGCAGACTGAAGTTTCCACCACAGAAACCCCATGCGTGAGAAATCAATGGAGAGCTGAGGCTTTGTGTGCGGCCCTGCCTCGTGGTGTTGGAAATAATGATTGCTTCATAGAGTATATTAATGATAAAAATCACCTGTAACACGAATTCCTGTCATTAAAAAGAAAGAACAGGGACTTGTGGGAAAAGTAGAATTAATTCACTATGCATTCAAAGTCATTTAAAAATAACCCAGTGACAAGTGGTCTGCCATACTGCTCCTGCCTCAAGGTCCCAGGGTCAGGTTCTGCAGGCCCAGGCAGATGCCAGAGTGTTTACAGTGACTTGGGAGGGGCCACATAAAAGGCCTGAAAGGGGAAATCCTGTCTCTTCAAATGGCATCCAGATGCCAGTGGCCCTGGGCAAGATGGATATGTGGCTCATAGGCCAGACTGGGGGGTGAGCTGGCTACATGTACCATGAGGACTGGGGTGTCCTTGTTTATACTGGTAGTCGGTGAGGAGGAGGAAGGGGAGGCTGTGGGGTAAAGGCTGGTCTTAAGCCTCTTTTTCTACCAAGTTTGAGAGTCAGGGTCCCACAGGAAATTGAAACTCACTCAGGTCAATGACAAGGATCATTTTGTGGGGACTGAGGATTGGGCAAGGAAACTAGAGGGCTCAGTAGGGTGAGGACATGGTCCACCTCCTCCCCCTTACAGCCTCCAGCACACCCCAGCCGTTCCGCCCCTCCCCCGTTCCCCTTGGTGTGCATGACTTCTGCCACTGACACCACCTCCGATTCACTGTGACCTGCCATAGTTGCAGCCACGAGGAAGACCAGGCAAAACGGCTTATAGAAGATAAGCTGTCTACTTGCTGCTTACTTGGGACAGAGTGGACCTGAGCAAGGACATGGGTGTGGGAAGGCCAGTGAAGCATGAATGACAGACTGTGAGGTCTTTCTTCTTGGACCAGTCAGTGGCCACTGTCCTGACCACAGCTATGCCATTCAAGAGCGAGACTGGGACGCCTCAGACGACGCCTCACTGAACCCTGACTTCCTGGAGACTGGGCCCCTTCCTGGCAAGCTTCCAAGAGGACACAGCAGCTCTAGACACTATTCCAGAGCCCCTTAGATGGGCAAGATCTGGAGCTGGACATGGTTCCCAGGGGTCATACCTTGGGCCCTTGGGTCTCCACCCTTACACCTTAGAGTCCAGGAGGGGGCTGCTGAGTTGGGAAGGTTGTATCTGACTGTACTCGACTTGTCTTAGTTTGTCATGGAGCACAAGGTCACCCCTTGCCAGGTGACTCTCCGGATGGGACAGACTCTACACTGTCCTTCCAGAATGTGTGTCCATCTACCCGTATAGGGGAGGGAGGGCATGATGGTGTCTTGGCTGCAGGGCAGTGTCTCCCATAAGTCGATTTGGAGGGGACAAGACCACACCCTGTTGTTCATGGATCAGGTGGACATTGACAGGGCTGACTTTCAATGGTGACTCACATTCTCATGGTGTACAATAAGAAATGCTGTAAGCCTCGGGCAGCTGTAGGCACCTGGCCCCCATATCCTTGCTCTGTAGCTGGTCACCATCCACCACCCACTACCCCATTCTTTGGGCATGGTCCCACCTCTGGACTCTCCTGCCACCAGCTTCCTATCAATTTGTCACCCGTTGGGACTTGATTTTGGGGCAGGGTGGGAAGGAGCCATTGTCGGGGTCTAGAAAAATCAGTGACCCAGCTCCACCTTGACTTGACTTTGGCAAAGCCACCAAACTCCCTAGCTCTTGACTTTTGTCACATACCCAGTGGAGGAAACATTTACCTCTGCCTCTGCCCCACAGAGATGTCACAGCAGTGACCCAACAGATGGGCAGAAGTCCCCTGCGCCTGGGTAATCTGCTTTGGCTTAGAGTTAAGTTGAGTGGCATGTGTGAGAGACTAGCCCAACCTCTGCTGGAGACTTCTGAGTCTTGGGACAGTCCCTGGACCAGCAGCTCTGTCAGGGTGCTGCAGCTCTCCAGGCTGCCTACTCACTCCCCAACCTGAGCAGACCCAGGCTAGCCCCATGGAATCTCTTGCATTTAGTTTATCTCTTGGGATGGCCTGAGCCTGTGAACTCACCATGCAAAGCAAAAGAAATTGCTGGCTCAGTGGGGAAGGACAGCAGGGGATATCAGAGCCCAGGGACAGAGCTGGTGGTTCCCAGGGACAGCAGAAGGAAAGCCCTGTGCACTTCCCTGCTGTCCAAGG